TAGCTGTCTACTAGCGTCTTAGTCGATGGTTGTGTGGAAGAAACGAGTCTCCTCTTGCACCTTGCTGGTCTGTCTATCCACGGACGATGACCTTTGAACTGGTCGTTCAGCGGTCGGTTTCAGCGGGAATGTGCCGACCGGTCCATCGAGCCTTCAACTGCTATCTGAATGTACGAAAGTTCAGTAGCGAGTGTATGTGTATATACAGTATTGACGTTTTAGACATTAAGAAACTTGAAACTCTTGATTTGCACCAGCATTTAGCAAACAGTTTAGGAGATAATAAAGTGTGCATATAGTTACCTACCCTATGTTGCTATCCCTTGCCACTAGATCGCAGGTAAGGCGTGTGGGATACGTGAGGGGAATGCAGTGTGTCGTAGATCTATGTTCTAAGTAGGGCCTACTCTAAAAATGTATGGCCTAGCTGATGCCGACAGGTTTCCAATCACAAGCCTTGTGGTAATCACTGGTTCTACGCGTTTGTCTGCCGGGACCAATCACACTGGCACTTCCTATATCAGCTTGATTGTGAGGAAGGAAGCAAAAAAAAGAAATGAAGAGGAGTACGTATATAATTAGGAATTCGAAGGAAGAATTAAGAGAGTGAATGCTCAATGCGGAAAGCGTACACTGATTTTGCAACATTCCAGAGAGCTCCCACGGCACGCACGCACGCACAGAGCACGGCACAGACACGCGACGCCCACACACACACACACACAGAACCACACACCATTGATGTCACACACACCACACATGCACACACACACAGCACCACACACACACACACACACACAACACACACACATAATATATATATTATATAAGTTTATTAATTTATAAATATATTATTTATTTATTTATCACAGCATATATATAATATAAATATATATATATCATAAAATAGTCATGCGTCTAAACAATGTCCCAACCGTTGTACCAACCTTCGATTTCAGATCATCTGAGTATAATGGATTGAATGAGCATTTAAGTGGATTGAATTAACACTTGAAGATACATGCACGTAGACTTTCAATCTTAATTAATATTTTACCTAGTATAGGCTAAGCCCTGTCTTTCAAAGACTGATTATATATACTTGTGAATTTATTCCACCAGACGGGTAGATAAAAATACAATACGATAGCTGACTGGTTGCAAACGACAAGTTGTATGTCACGTCACATAGACTGGTACTACACGAGCAACGACGAGCAACAACACGAGCAAACAACAAACTGGGAACCCGTCTATTAATAATGGCTGCTTCTAGCTTCCATTCAAGGATAATTTGTGTAAAGCACTATTTCGTTATCCAAGCGTAGAGAATCAGGAAACGGGTAACTCTCTCGGCAACTGTGACTCCAGTATAACTCATGGCAATAGATTGCTAGCTATTTTAGATTGATATTCCCAGTATTAGTCCTATATTTTGACTATGACTATGAGTATGAGTATGAGCCATGGTTACGGTACATTGGTACACAGGCACGCCTCGTAGGGTCTATGTCCCCTGAAACCTCTGTTGACGGCTCCGCTCGTTAGCGCTATTTCATGATAACGCCTAACCCTAATCCCTAACGCCTTAACTGCCTAACCCTAACCACTATATTATATTATGATATTATATATATAGTATATATTAGTCAGGAAATAGCTAAACGAGCGAGGCTCAAACAGAGGTCAAAAGGGGACATAGACCTTATCTTGCATGACTATGAGTATTGACTTAAAGTTAGTAAGGTATGAGTTTTGAATGTATGACTATGAGTCCGACCCAGCATCGACACTTGAAGCGTTTCAACTGTAAAACACACGCCGCCGCCCATTGCGCGCGAACACTGACACATAAAAACATATAGGCAGGTGAGAAAAGGTGCGCCAGAGGAACGCTCGACGCTCGCGTTGATTTCACAGGATTTCAACACAAATACTCAAACCTTACGACTCCATGCTTGCTGCTAATTGAGAGTACAGTTGTTCACTTTGTTGTATAAAAATATTATTGTCTCCACTCTCGAAAACAGAGCTGTGCACTGCAAAATCACGAATTAAATCATGAAATTCTCGGGTGATTGCTAAGCACTGCGCGCCAGACCGAGCGATTGTAACAACCTTAACACGTTCAAATACGCTGCCCTGGTTAACAATGCACTCTATCCGCCACTGTGCTGAGATTTTACAGCGTTTATTATCGCTTCAGTCACCTAATTACAGACAAAAATGCTTTTTGGCAGGTTTAACTAGCTATAAAAATTATTTATATTAGTGCTAGTATAACGATACTAGAATATAAAACTTTAACTCTCAGACATCAAAACAACACCGGAATCTTATCACCCCATAGACGAAACGCCGTGGATCTACATCAAATCAAAACACAACTTTCAGACATAAAAACAACTTCAACAATCACACGGCGGTCCAAAAGACGAGCCCTTTGCTATGAGTAAACAAACATTACCTCAGTCCCAAAACCCCCAAAAATAACGTTCCATAACAAGAGTAAAGTATTGTATAAATTAATGCCATCCTACTACTGGGTGTAACAGTGATGGCTATGTGAATTGCTAAAGCGTATAGCCGCCTGCCATCTATATGAGAACATAGTAAACGTTCCAAATTATTCATTATTTTTTAAATTTTTTTTTTTTGCAACGAGTATCACTCGTGTTTTCGGCGGCCAGGCGTTTTGCCAGGTTCGAACGAGTTTATCTCGTGTTTCGCGTTGAAGCCGTGTTAAGTACATGGCGAAGGCGGCGCACCTCTTTTGGGTAACGACAACAAACGCTTGCTTTCCGCCTCGCCCATGTGTGCCCCGTCAAAAGCCGCTTCAGTGGGCTTTGCTATAGATACCATAGACGGGACACAGAGACAAACTTTCGTTAACCTCTGCACCGTTTTTCAAGAACAGTTACATCGAGTGTACAAGCTGATAGTTTGGAGCCAGGAGGCGAGTCGAGTCGCCAAGCGGTCGCCGGAGGCATGCTGTTCGAAAAATGACGTCACGAAATACCGGCCGGTAGGGGGTCTCCAGAATAGTCGTAAGGTTGAGTATTTAATGTCTGAAGATCCTGTGAAATCAAGCAAAGCGTCGAGCGAATTCCTGGCGCACGCTTATCTCAGCCTGCTAAAATAGTTATGTGTCAGTGTGCGCGCAATGGCGGCGGCGTGTGTTTACAGTGCAAACGCTTCAAGTGCCTGTACTATGACTATGACGTATGAGACCAATGGTAGCCAATGGTAGAGCCAGTGCCAACCACCCCCCAGCGGAGCGGGTTTACATGTACTACTACTACATAGTATTACTAAGAGTAGTAGTACTACTCATTACATAGTGCTTTAGAGGGTCTATGTCCGCCCCAGGGTACTGCCGAACGTAACCCTGGTATGGTCCGGTATAACCCGGAAGTACGGTAGCTTTGGGTACTATCCTAATATGCCGGACCGTACCTCGCCTACTTCCACTAACGAGTCTAGGAAGTCGCCCTACTCCTAAATCTTAACGCCCTAACCCGTAAACGCGCTAGACCTAACCATATCAATATATTACGAGGGTACCGTTCCGGTAAAAGCCGGAACGCGTACCAGGTACGTTCCGCGCAGGTAACTGCCTGGCCTCTGGAGGACATAGACCGGTACCCTAACGCCTATGAGCTGTACTAGTGTACTAATTAACTAATGTAGATCATCGAGCATATGATATGTATTGTATCCTCCTCTTATATTTAGAGAATATGTGTTCATTTGGTATAATATAGTGGTATATTATAGTATATCGATAAATAAAATATATATATATTAGGCCAATAGGCAAGCCTAAGCGGCGGAGCTCCCATTAAAATTTAAGATACGTAATCATTTTTACCACGACAATTAAGAGAAGAGTTACATGTAAGGTCAACTGAAATGCCAGTGTAATTATGATACAGCAATTGATTGGGTTTTATATACACATACATATATAGGATATTATATGCGCACGCGTGCACTCACGCCACTGTCACAGTCACACACACATACGCATGCGCGCGACACACGCACACACACGCAATATAATATATATATATAATATAATATATATTTATTCGCACGCACGTACACGCAATGCACGCAAGCTCTTAGCAAGACGAGCAGTAACACGCAGAAGCTAAGTCGTTGCTAGCACAACAATTGTAAATGGAAAAAATCGAAACAAATGGGAAAAACGTTATATATATATATGTACAGGGTTCTGTCGCAGGATTTTTTTAGTGCCGGGCGCATCCAGTTGCGACTTTTCGGCAAGATGCAAAGCCGCCGTAACAGCGAAGATCAAATCTAGGGGGGTCCGCCGCCCCCCTGAAAATTTTGAATTTTTTGATAATCTGAAACCAATTTCCTGCATATTCTGAGCAATAAAAAGCCCATATATCAGACTTTTTTTGCTTTATTTTTTAATATTAAATAATTTGTGGGGCCGGGCGGAGATACTATAGTGGCCGGGCGGCAAACGACGCGAGTGCCGGGCACACACCGCCCACACTTACTATAGCTCTAGACTATAGGCGGCGCTTCACTCTGGCCGCAGGGCTATAGTTCGTATAGTTAAATAGTTCCTAATAGTTAGCGCAAAAACAAAATATACTGTGTGGTTAGCCCGTTACATGCCGAAAAAAAATAGGGTAGGTAGGTAGGGAAAACATTTTATTTCTGAAAATATTTTAATTTAGAACCCATGTCCGAAGGATGTGCGATTGGTGCTTTTGAAGCAGGAACTAACCAAATTCATTTTAAATTAAAAATTTTTTTTTATTACTTTAAAGAAAATTGACAATTTCAATGTTTTAGGTGTAGCGTGGAATAAATAGGGTCGTGTCGGCGAAACCGTAACAAACCACACCTATATTTTGTTTTGGCCTTATTATAGTTCCTATAGCAGGCGATAGTCCCGACTTAGCTTCTGCGGCGGAGCGAATTGCTATAGTACTAGAGCTATGCTCACTATTGCAGGTATGACTATGAGGTACTGAAGAGAGGAACGGAGAGCTCACCGCTGAGTCCATACTAAGCGCGATCACCATGGCGTGCCTCGACGCCAACGGCAACGCCATTCCGTTGATCGCGGAGCATGGCCACGGCGCTGTTCAGTTGATCGCGGAGACCGGCGATGGTTCGGTGATGTACGGCGGCGTGGAATCGTACATCGAACCGTGTGAGGTGACGCTGAACGAAGGGGGAGAGGCTGTGAAGGTAAATATGCTACGTGCGGGAGGCACTTTTAAAGCCCATGCGAACCCCTAAAAATATGTATGTTAAAACTAGTGATGTGTAGCTGTGTTATTTTGCAACTTTACACAGTAGTGTAAAATTTTATTAAATACCGTAAACGTATTTTTAATGCTCGTGGGGACGTTTCTAAAACACTTTGTGAAGCCCGTTGTGCGTAAAATAGTAAAGACTCGATCGTTCGGTCGTGGTGGGGTTCACCTATCGTAGTTAGGTTATTTCATGGAGCGTATTTATTAATTGGCGATTTGTTGCGATCTTTTCTACATCGGAACTTTCGGGAATTCCGGTCACAGTTGCAGTGCCTGCTTGTCCACATTTTTATACAATAAAAAACTAAAAAAAACTCTTACATTTTTGTCAGATATCACTATATTTTGCCAAGAGATGGCGCCACACCTGTTACATACACTGTAAGATTTATGTGTGTGAAGTGTCCCTGCTTGCTTCATCTGCAGGTCTCGTCAGAGGATCTGATTCTCGGGGGCGTCGACGCTGCGGCGGCGCAGAACACAGAGACGTATTTCGTACGTCACGTGAGCAATGGCGTCGCGGCGAGTGCAGTCGAAGACACGCTACCGAAGGAGGAGGCTGGGGAGGATCAAGAAGTGTTGTTAAAGTAGGAGGAGAGAGCAGAAAAGGGACGGCTAGAGATAGAGCGAACGAGAGAGAGAGAGGAGATAGAGAGAGAG